TGATACTTCCCCTTTAAGCCCGGGCCAAACGAGAACGAGAGTAGTTGAGAGTCGCCGAGAGGATGAGAGTTGCACGAGAGTTTACCCGGGCCAAATGAGAGAAAACTCTCCACGACTCACAAGAAAAAATTGAGCAGGTTACGTCCAAATTCGACGAGAGCGCACGCGATGTCCAGTCGCCGAGAGTGCATGGGAGTTTTAGGCCAAACGAGAGCGAGAGTTTGAACTCTTGTCAACTCTTGTTCTTGTTTGGCCTGCGAGCTTCAAAAATAAACGTTAACTTACTTGAAACGACACGCGCGCTTTCTGTTTCCAATCGGCCATACTATAGCTATTTTTTCCTCGCATTTTTCGCCTCCCGCTCCACGATTTATAGCTAGCTACTAGATGGGAAGAGTAACTTGGCTGCAAACAGCAAGTACGAAAAAAAAAAAAAACGATATTATGCTCTATAACAGGGCTCCCGTCAATAAAATAACAATGAAGCTTTCAGTATACAGTCAACTCTCGCCTTGCGGACACCCCGTTATTACGGACTCCCGCTATTACGGACAGAATTCAGCCCTCCACCGGGTGAAAGCTGTAGAGGTCTGACTGAAAATGACTCCCGCTATTACGGACTCCAAACTACGTCCCGAGGGTGTCCGCTATAACGAGAGTTGACGTAAAGAAAGTTACATTTTCTTGAACGCACACTTTGTGATCGGATACATTGAAGTTTTCACTTTTAATTACGTTTTACATCGTAATGTTCGAAAATATTGCTACAAACCAGTTTTTTTAATTAAATTTCGAACGACTAGCACGAGTTAAAACTACAGGTATTCACACTTAAAACGACCGGTGTTAAAAGCAGGATTATTTAAATTTCCTGCCATTGACGAAACCTATCTCGCGAGCGTCTATTACCAGTTTTAGTTATTTTCCATTCACAGATATTATTTTGAGTGTTAACTCCATTAAAGTTTTTAAGACGAACGAAACTGAATAGCAATTGAATTCAACTTTAGGCGGAGCATTAGATAGCCAATCGGTTCTTTCAGTGAACAAAAGAACGAGCCGTTCTTGAAACTCGTCAATAAACAGAGCAGGTTATGAACCGCGGGAAAGCGAAAGCGAACCAAGTCTGTTCTGGTACTTCACAAGCAACAGCCGTAGATTTCAGCGACCATACATTGTTTTCTTTCGACTCAGTGAAACCACACGCAAAACAGTCTTAAAAACCGGCTTGTCACCGGAACGAATAAGCGAACAAACTTTGTGAACTGAATCCGAGCGTTATATTTTAGCTTCATACGGGAATCTACGCTTATCAATTTAACCAAAACCATTTGTCAAAATTTGACTTTTCCGTCAGTTAAGTTAACCGACGTGAAATTAGCGACTCAAATGGATTTGTCAACAGAGTTTACTACTGATCTATTCCACGAGGATGCGATAAATTATTTATTTTGAAGTCAAAGCGAGGGGATACTATATATTTTTTATAAATTTACTTAGTGAAAGTGATGGTTGTTCGACAATAGTGGTTTTAGAAGACGTGTACTATATTCATAATTTCGCGTTAATTAAAGGAAATCTTCAAAACTTTGGCGCGAAATAGTTAATGGCTATTTTAAACAAAAGCCTTTTTGTGTCCTTTTTTGATAACACCAAATGATTCACAACTTTAAAAATCATTTTAAACTGTTTACATGTAAAAAGTTTAGGTAAACATTCCTTGTACCACGACAAAAATTAACAGCAGCTTAACAAAAACGTTTCGAAATTTTCCTTTTTACTTATCGGCAAAAATGTTTTCCCTGAGTAGATGACTTTTTTAATTTATCTTCCACAAATAAAAACGAAAAAAAAATTTAAGAGGTGTGAAGTGTTTTTAAGGGCAATTGTGAAAAAAAATCAATTATCTTCTTGCGACATAGTAAGAAAAACTGATTTCCCAAAAATTGATATTTGTCGCTATCTCCGAGATGAAAATGATCCTTACTAACTGAAAACGATCGCGCGCATAAACTATGATACAGAAAAAAAAAATGCGCTAAAATTGATCAATTCAAATTTAAGCGATCAGCTGATTAAATAACCGAAAATCACTGATCGCATGTTAAACAGTCATGGATATATTGTCTGGGCTGAAGTTTGCAAATGTCCATCTCATACAATAATTAGTTTGCATATTTCCGTATCTATCGTCGTATCGAAGTTACAGCAATTTCGTTATGGCAATATATTCCTTCCGATAAAAATGCCAAGTTACCAAACAACGCGCATTCAAATTTAAGGCGCACTTTTTAATACGTACGGGATCCCATTTTCATATTCCCATTTTATATTGGCAACGCCTCGTTGCTATCGTAATTAATACGCTGTTTTTACTGCTCTAGGGTTTGGTTTTATGAAACTTTCGATTTTATCATCCGTAGAATTGGTTTGATTTTCCACTCCTTTCATAAAATTCGGTCATTAATTAATCAGCTCTATCCATCCATTGACCGTGCAAAAAATAAACTTTACTACAGAATCCGCCGCGAAAAAACTGCACATCCACTAACCTGTAATCCATTTACAGCGTGAAGGGAGAGTTTGCTTGACCTGGACTCCAAGGCAAGTTTAAGCGGAAGGAAACACTTCTCCCTGAGTAGAGAACAGCCAATTATATTTACACGCAATTTAACCCTACATTGGTGTCCATTTTCCTACCCGTAGTAGCCGAGACGAGCGACAGAGGGGCATTTGGCGCTTACCTTAGCTCGTGAGGTTGGACTTTTCGCGTTCCCATTTCGACTGATGAACAGTCCATCTGAAAAAAGCCAAAACCAAATTAATGAGCGTATTCTCGTGGTAAATCGTTGGCGGTTTTCTTCAAATTGCACGTTGCTTACCCGTCGCTGATATACACGCGTCTCTGAGGGTCTTCGCTTTACTTGACGTGGCATCGTGAGCTAAGTTAGATAGCACTTCCTCCATGACTCTCTAACCCATCAGACAAGCGGCGCACAAAAAAAAAACTTCCAGACTTTTAGCGATTATTCCCTTCCCAACCGCGAGATCATCTTCTCAGAAGCTTTTTCAAGTCACAATATTTTGATTCAGCAGGTCGTTAGCGCGTTCGACGAACACAATTCAAACAATAGAGGAGAGTCGGGCCAAAGCGATGCGCTGTTCGCGTGCGCAGTGGTGTGTGCAGATGAATGGCTTCCTTCTTGGCACCTGTACGCTGTCCAATCAATCACCTCCTTATAAGGAAAGCGCACGCATACCTGCAACTAAGCGGATATTGGCATGACTTCGAGAGTTTATGTCCGTGTAACTTCGATAGTGGTATAAGCTTAAATAATCGGTGTTTAATAGCGCTGTTTGAAATTAGTACATCCTTGAATTAATTAATTTTATACTATGTCCTCGTTTGGCTGTCGACCGCAGTGTCAACACAGCTGACCAGCTGGAAAAAACAAACGAGTTGTCCTCGCGATCACAAATTTCTTTAATAACACGGCAGGGGAGTGATTTCTAATGGGTATGACCTGGGTATGATTGGCCAAGTGTGAAATGGGGCGGGACATTATTTTACTCCCCTGTGTGCTGGGAGGCCCCCTGTGTTCCTTCCCACACAACTCCACCAAGGGAATCCCCCACGGTGTTAAAGGAGCTACGTCACGGATGGCGCATCTTGAAAAATTTAGCCTAAATTTTTCAAGTTCGTCGTTTGCAATCTGTCATGAACCATCCTTGTTCCTGTTTGGTTTCTTATTACCTCGTTGGTGTTTTTCTACATCGGAAAAATGACTAAAAATATCATGACATAGCTCCTTTAAGATCAGAGTTGTGAAACTGAGGTTTTCAACCCCAGGAAAAAAATTTGCCCCAAACATTCCCAAATACAGCTCGAGTCAAAAACTCCAGGAATGCTAGGCATGTTTATTTCAGTACAAGTGTTTACAATTCTATATACAAACGACAATAAAAGTCATTACTTAAACATTGTTACAGTTTTCGTGTAAAAAGCGACAGCGATTGGATAAACTAGTTATTAGGTAGACATAACAATTGAAATTATTACGCCGGTTTAATTTTAAAAAAGAAAAACTAACGCCAACTTCGCTATCTATCGCTAAAAGTCAATATCCAGCTTTAGCTGAACGAAACATTGCTATCAAGTGCAGCTATTAAATAAAATACACGACAAATATTACACAATCTGTTGTTTGTCTGACACGGTAGAGGAAAATTAACATGTCATCATACTCGGAGCGCTTTTCTTGATCTTTTTAAACTACAGTATTAAAAGCTCTATTAAAATAGTTTACTTTAAAAGGTGTATAGTTGTGTTTGCCGACCTTAATCACTGGTTACGAAAACCCTTGCAACGTGCTCTTGCCAATCAGAGCAAGCGGTATTGTCTACTTAGCCAATCACAGACAAAACCAAAACCAATGGTGATTGGGGTCACGTGACTTTTCCCGCGCTTTTCCCGATGACACGTTTTTGCTTCGAACTCTGATTGGTTTATTACAATGTACATGTTACATGCTATATATGGGCACAGTGATTTTACTTTTAGGCTTACAGTACATGCAGGTATTCAGCTTCTAAGAGACACTTTCTACTTAAAATTTAGGAGACACTGGATGTAGAGAAACACTATAATCCACCAGCTCTCTTGCTATGCTACCTCGGAACCAACCAACATGTTGGACAAGCACGTCGAGCTGGATTTCGACTGAGCACTAACTAAACACACGTTGGAGTGTCATTAGATGCTTTTGCCAACATAGGGGTTAGATCAGATCAATACATGTACTTGGTCGCTGTACCGTACACTGAGCACTTACATGTACATGGAACTTTATGAAGCGACTAGGAGTATTGCTACTACCCCTGGATTAGGCTCGATTTCTGCCGCTCTCTCAAGTCCAGTCTTATTTCCCCCACAACCAGAATTTACACCCACGTAAAAGTCACTGTGAGAGTAAAGTGTCTTGCCCAAGAACACAACACAATGACCCTGGCCAGGGCTCGAACCTGGACATATCGATCCAGAGTCCAATGCAATAACCATTAGGCCACCATACCACATACAAAATAGGTAAGCAACACGTACATGTGTCTACTGCAAGGTTTTCCCTAGGTTGAAATGTCATTTGGAAGTGGTAAAGTCTTTGTCACTAAATATGATTTACTAAAAATACACTAACCAGCTTAGAAAGAATAAGCACCTACAGATAAGATATATAAGAAATCTCCAGTATAACTACTCCAGTATGATGTGCAATGCTCTTGCTGAGTCAGACAAACAGTCAGTGCAAGTTTATAATATCATTACTTAAGAAAAACAGAAATTCATCTAACTTTTAGCACATAATTCTTGGAAGTGTTTGTTTTCATGCATCAATGACCAACTTTTGCTCCTCAATAGGAATCTTCGACTCCAGAGCTGGGGCTTCAAACTCGCCGTCGTATGCAAACTTGTCCTCGAAGTCCTTCAGGTCAATCTTCTTGCCTGCGGCTGGTGGCTTGCAGCAGAACACCCAGAAACAGCAGGCGGCAGTGCCAAAGCCAATCAGGGCCACCACTGAAAAGACAGCCATGCGAGCAGCAAATGGCAGCTTGTAGAACTTTGAGCAGAATCCATGCTTGGACTACAAAAAAACACAAAGCAGTGGAATGTGAGAAACTAACTCCTGTTCAAAATATCAATTCCTCTTCCAGTTTATAACAGATTCCTCCTTATGTTAGTTTTGAGAATTTGGTAGTACATCAAGACAACATCCAAATCCCTGATGTTTTTTTTTTTATTCTCGTCACCTGTCTGCTTCACAAACTATTGACACTGTAACGAGAAACTGATTGTTGATCACTGCACCAGTCTGTTGTGCTCACTATTGGGAATTCTACATGTACATTGTAAAGGGTTACTAATTATTGATTGTTTGAGGTTTTGTTATACGGCAACTCTTTGTTTAGCGTCCACTCTCAAATAAAGAAAGAAACAACATAACCAGAAAATGCAATGGAACAATAATGAGATATGGGACTTTCAAAAATCACAGCAGTTGTCCAGGTTATTTAATACTGTAACTAATGTTTGTTTGGATTGCCTGAGAATTGTTGAACAAGAAGCAGAAAACGTGCAGTCAGTTAAATTTTATTTTCTGTTTCTTGCTTTCCTCAACAATCCACAGGAAACTGCACGAGAAACTGCTCCCAGTGGCCTGCCTTGAACAAACAAGCAACCAATAGATACATGTATGTCCCAACTGTGCATAATTTTGAAAGTCTCTGACATGCACAATACTACATGTACAAATGTATTGAACAGAAGCTTTTACCGTGTCAGCTTGGTAAGGATGATCAGGCAGCTGGGCTGGCTTCAGTGGAGTCTTATCACTGTATGGTGGTGTCAGGCAGGCGACCACCTGAAAAGTAAAATATGCAGTCAGCACATTCAACGCTTTTGTAACGATTGTCATAAAATAAGATGATAGCATGAATATCAGAGCCAATAAAGTCTGTTTTACAAGCCTACTGTAGGTGGCTTGTATGTATTTGACTGGTGCCTACATGTACATTGTAACTCCAGTTTCCATACTAGTCCATAAAGGTTACCCACCCCCACCCCCAAGTGTCAAGTGCTCTGAGTAATTAAACCCATGCAGTGGATTTCATAACTACGTGTACTGTGTACATGTAACCAGTACAAAATAAATTGAACTTAAAGTTAATGAATAATAAATGACAGTTTCTTACCCTCAGGGTATTTATGATTGTCTTTTTCTTTGGACATGTTGTGAATGTCAGACTGTTTCAGCTCAATTGTAGTGATTTCACGCTTGGCGATCAACTCATTGTTGGCAGAATCCAGTTTCATCACCAACTGCGTCACTTTGATCTGCCTTACAACCTGGTGGTTCACCTCAACAATTTCCTCCTGTACACGGAGCACTTTGAAAACTCCCTGGTTAGTAGTCTGTTGCGACTCAAGCACCAACACCCTGATCACAATAGGGACCTTTGTCATGTGTTGCAGTACTTCCCGGTTCTTGCCAATTTCATCTGCAACAGGAAGACAATACATTGAAACGATTAGGTTGAGATGACTGGATACAAGTAGGTGTTTTATCTTGGTTAAGTTCCTACATGTACAATCATGTATAAATACAAATTAATGTACATGTACAAGTGTAGTTTCCTGATAACTCGAACCTTCAAGGGAAATTGAAAATCGTTCCAGTTATCAGGAGTTCGAGTTATCGAGGGTAAAATTAGTAAGAAAATGACCTGAAGGGAAAACGAATTTAATTTGACTTAGCATGAGGTTCAAGTTATCGAGGGTTCAAGTTATTGGGAGTCAACTGTATCCTGCTACCACTTGTAAGCCCAGGGCTCATCAACACTGGGCTTATACTGTACAACTTCTTCAATATGGGGTTTTGAGTGGGCTTATCAGTGGCAGATTAAAAAAACAAGTTTGTGAAACGCATACATAGAAATACTGTCGAACCTCCTGTAAGCGGACACCCTCAGGAACAGAAAAAGTGTCTGCTTAAGAGGTGTCCGCTTATGGGAGGTTAAAAAATTAATGTATATACACTGTAGCTGGGTACAGTGTACATGACTAAGTGTCTGCTTAGGAGAGGTGTCCGCCTACGGTACATGTAGGTGTCTGTTAGCGGAGGTTTGACTGTATACATTAACAAAGCAGATGTAAGGAGCAGAATGTGTCGGATGCGACAGGAAGGGAGTACATGTAGCTGTCTTACCAATTTCTGCATAGAAATGAAACGTTGTTACAGCCTGATGTATGGCCTTGGAGTTGTTGACGTGCACCATGCCATCAATAACACTGACTCTGATGTTCACCTGTGGTAAAAAGAAGCTTTTAGCATACAGTCGTGTGTATACACCTATTTCAATTAACGTTGTCGGATAGAAAGCGTAAAGCCTACAAGGCAAGACCGATTGGTAGTCTGGGTATTCATTGTAATTTCCATATCGGTTGAAAAGAAATCTACAAGTTTTTATTTTCGGACATGATGTATTTGGTTTGCCCCAAATTAGATAATTTGTTTTCCATGTTTTTTTTCACTAGCTGATTCTGCTGAAATTAAGTTTGGCTAAAAGTAGCTTACTTCTACAGGTTTAAAACAAAAAGGAAACATTAGAAATAATGTTTTTCATGTTACTTCTCATTAGTATTCGGTGCGTGCAGCAGTTTTCTACTTTTACCCATGCTACCTTTCAGTCTTGTCTTGCGGGCTTTTAAAAACATTTCTATCCGACAACGTTAATTGAAATAGGTGTACATGTATACAGGTACATTCAAACAAATTAATACATTTTTGAAGCATTTCATCAAATAATACAGCACACTGTATGTACATGTACATGTAGGCCAATTTCGATGTACCAAAATTTTGACTTGGCTCCGAGGCATGGAGGAATAAAACATTAAAGAAATTAATTATTCATCCCTCAACCAGTCTCTGAGCCATGTCAGAATTTTGATATATCAAACTTGGCCTATTGAAGACTGTAGCTGTTTTCCCTCTTGAAAGCTCACAAAATTAATGAGACCATATGTCGCCAATAACATTTCCTCCTTAGCGAATAAAAATTATGGTTTAGTCACCACTTTGGCAACTACATGTACATTGTACATGTACATTTCTCTATGATTTAGATTATAAATTAAAAGATTAAAGTTTAAAAACAATTTAGCTTGTCTTGTTTGGCTTTCACTGCAGTCAAGTTGGTCCATCTTTTTTTTTTTGCTGTAAAAATACATGTATAATCCCTCGACTTCAGTAAACTTGGAAATGGCTGGCCGTGTTTGAAATCACCATATAATACAATGCAAACCCTTGTGTTAGTTGTGTACATGTAGATCATGTGTCTGATATAATTTGTCTCTGGAAATGTGGCTATCCACCATGTTAATTCCCGTCGTATTTGCAATCATGTTTGGCTCACATAAGTAACAAAGTTCGCGGCTGGAGAGTCTGTGGTAAAATTATTTTGCAAATTTGCATTTGGCGACTATTTTTCTTCCAGTTAGTCGCCGACTTAACAATAATTTTAAATTTAATTTCAAGCCCTGATGGGAATTTGTGTAAAATTTACATGTGAACTCAGTGAAGTTTCAGGGATTTAAATATTATTAGCACTCGCCCTCCCACCCACCCAGGCGAGTCTCGATCGTTTCATGCGAGTAGAAGTATTATTGTATACATGTATGTAGATTTTTGGTGCAATTCTTAGGCCTACATGTACTGTAGTTTAAACATTGCCGAATCTAATTCTTGGTTTGCATCTGACGTCATCAAAATTCTAAAATCTAAACTGTTAATTCTACAAAGCTATTCTTTTCACATATTCTACACATACAAAACATTAATCTCTATGCAAAGTTTGGTATCGATTCAGTGCTTCGTTTCGAAAATAAAGCATTTTGAAATTTGCGATGTCCCGGATGAACGTGTTTTTGAACTGTCACAAAAACGGGTATTTTATGTCATTTTTAAATTTGTATACGTGATAATAATTTAGAAGTGATATCTAAAGAGTTTTGAAGTGAAAGCTAATGATATTGATGGTAGAATCTACTCTACTCCGTGTACAGTTTTATGGCCGCCATATTGGTGTCCCAAAGAAGGGCACCAACATGGCGGCTGCATACTAAATACTGTAATTTTCTGAAAATTATTTTCGTAATAACTCGGTTATGAAAAACGATACAAAGCTATAATTTGGACAGAACGTTTCTTTCTGCCTGCTCTATAAGCTGTTAATTTTCTGATATTGTTCATGCAAGCAAACAGTCTTGGTAACATTGATGCAAACCACCAATACCTATTTGGGTCGACTCGAATTATAAAAGTTCGACATTTGATTCAAACGTCAAATTGAATTGTATTGAATTTAAACTTGAGCCAGTCGAATATTCGACAGAAGTCCCATTTGATAAAATGGGTCGAATTTAATTGATTCAAACGCCGCATTTTACATGCACATAAATCGGATTTGGCGCATGTAAAATGCAACATTTAAACCAGGCCTTAAAGTCACTTTCCCAG